GGATCTCTCTCGCATAGATTCTGATTTCAGGCATCGATCGTCACCTTACAGCTGGCTTAAAAAATTCAAACAAACAGAATAAACAAATTCATTCACACAGACAACAAAAGGGTGGTTACCAGAGGGAAGGGTGGTAGGGAAAGCTGAAGAGATTAAAGGGAGAGAAATATATGGTAACAGAGGAAGACTAGACTTTGGGTGGTGAGCACAGTCTGCATTACGCAGATGATAAACTATAGAACTGTGCACTTAAAACTCATATAATGTATGTTATTAACTGATATCACTCTAATACACTTTAAAGTATATTTAATTTATTTCAGAGAAGAAGGGAGAGGGAGAGAGAGAGAGATAGAAATATCAGTGATGAGAGAGAATCATCGATTGGCTACCTGCTCCAGGCCTCCTACTGGGGATTGAGCCCACAACCCCTGGCACATGCCCTGACCTGGAATGGAACTGGTTTATAGGTCAATACGCAACCTCTGAGCAACACCAGCTGGGAACCCCAATAAATTTAATTTAAAAGAATTTGTACTATTATATTATAACTGTACTATTTAAGAGGACTTTGAAAATAAGTTTATATTAAGCAAGGTAATTTTCTGGACCAGAAAAAAAGTCCTGTAGGAAGTGTAACAAACATAAATAAGTGAAGTGGATAACATTGAAACTAACACTGTCCTTTAAATCACTGTGTGGGCATAACATATTATACATATTCACAAGTAAGGCCCCTGGCTGGCTGGGTGTGCCTGCTGTTTTTGTACTCATTTTGTTTTTTGCAGCAAGAATGCTTAACTGGGTAATAGAGCGCTCTCCCCCCTGGTCCCTGAGAAACTAACCTCCCAGCTGCAGGCCCCATTTTTAGCTAGGACAGATCTCATGCTATTTAAACAATCTTTCCATAAGTGGCTAAGTTGAGAAAGTTATTGCTCTCTGTGGTCTCAATTGCCTAATGGGACGTCATTTTACTTAAATCCTAGCACCCCTGTGGTAGAATGCCAATGGTACTGTGCCTGGGGACTCAACGAAGTGCTCTCTGGCTCCTCTTCACCGAGCTGAACTACTTTTAACATCTCCACTCACACCTTAGTTAAACTCGGAAATTTCCTGCTTATTGTACCAAAAAAGGCAGTTCAATTCTGCTTTCCTAAATATTATTAGACTCTACCCTTGGATACAATCAATTTCTGAATAGGACTATTGCTGGGAGATCAGACTGAATATGTTGCATACTGACTTAAGAATACAGTATATTGGCCCGGCCGATGTTGATCAGTGGTCTCGGGTTCAATTTCTGATCAAGGGCACATACTGGTTTTCGGGTTTGTTCCCTGGCCTTGGTTGGAGTGTGTGTGGGAGGCAAAAAATGGATGTGTCTCTCTCACATCTCACATCAATGTTTCTCTCTCTCTTGCCCTCTCTCTCTCTCTCTCTCTCTCTCTCTCTCTCTTCCCCTTCTACCCCTTCCCTCCCTTCCATTCTATCTAAAAATCAATGAAAAAAATATCCTTGAGTGAGGACTAACAACAACAACAACAACAACAACAGAATAGAGTATATTGTGAAAACATGGTTTATTTGCAAAGAAGTTCTAAAATGTTATAGTATTTATTAGGTATGGCTTCTTTTGTAAAAATCAGAAACCCATACATCTTTCTTCTTATCATCTAATCAAGTAGGTAAGAACATTGTACAATACCTTTAAAAAACAAGATTTGATATTTAGCTGCATGTTCAGCAGAAGTAATGAATTGAAGCCTTCTGCAGTTCCGGCATGGACAATTGTTCATGAACCTACAAAGACTTCTTGTTACAAAAATAATTAAATGTGTAATGATTATACCTTTCATTTGTGTAGGACATTTTATAGATAACTCACTATTAACAGGCATTTATTAAGGCAATGCGTCACTCTGCTTTTAAAACTATAAATAGGCTTTTCTATGAGAGCTTATTATTCCCCTAAATGGAAGAGTTAAAGGAGACAAAGATTGAGCATTGCTAGTATGTGTGCTGTCTGCCTGTGCTATTAGTATATTGTGAAGGGATTAAACCTTTGAATAGATTATACTTTAAAAAAAATAATATATATATATTTTATTGATTTTTTGCAGAGAGGAAGAGAGAGGGATAGAGAGTTAGAAACATTGATGAGAGAGAATCATCGATCAGCTGCCTCTTGCACACCCCTTAGTGGGGATTTGCCCGCAACCAAGGTACATGCCCTTGACCGGAATCGAACCTGGGACCTTTCAGTCCCCAGGCTGATGCTCTATCCACTGAGCCAAACCGGTTTCGGCCTGAATAGGTTATACTTTTGATATATAGGACTCACATCCAACAGTGTTCAATTATTTGCCATATCAGCAAGGTGGAATCATATTTACATTTAAAAGATGCCCTCTCTAATGGCTTTAAAACATGGCAAACCAATTTTTTCATACTCTTTCATTAAAAGGTCAGATCTTTTAATGAAAGAGTCCTCTTTCTTTAAATCAGGGACCTGTGACTGCTCAATTGATAGAATGCAGGAAAAGTGACACTGTGCTGGTCCCTGACCCAGGCTTCAAGAAACTGTTAGCTTCTACTTCCTTTTCGGTGGAATACTTGCTCTGGCAAACCAGTCATTCTGCCAGGAGAAAGCCTTAGCCTCTAGTGTGTAACTCTAGGAGGATGCCCAAGCCTCTGTTGTAGAGCTCTAGCTGAACTTCTGTTAATAACCAGAGATAAGACAGCCATCCTGAAAGTGATCTTCTAACCTTCAGCTGAGCTGGCCTTGAAGATACAATGTGGAGTACAAATTAGCTATCTTTGTCAATTCTGCCCAAATTACAGATTTGTAAACAAAATAAATGATTATTGTTTCTAACGCACTAAAGTTTGAGATAATTTTTACACAATGGGAAACATGCTATAAGGAAATGGAAATATTTCAGTTCTCTTATTTTCAGTGCAGCAAAAGCATTCTTTTAAATCTCAACCCTTGGTGCTACTAGTTTGCAAAGGAAGAAACTGACCACATCAGGTTTCTGGGGAAGGTTCCCAGAGCTTACAAATTTGGAGGGAACTCTACCTGTTATGGAATGACGAACCACACTCTAGTCTAATATACTGAGCATCTACTAAGTGCCAGACATTTGCAGCTCCAAGGGAGCCAGCTTTGCTGTTTTTAGTTTTGCTGCTAATTCTCCACGGGGTGCTTGGCAGATTATTCTGTACTAGTGAATTCCACTTCCTCATCTGTAAAATGAGAGGGTTTGGATAAATATTCTCTCAAGTCCTTCAGCTCTAATATAATGTTACTTGTGATTTTAAAACTTTAGCTGCTCCACTGGAAAACCCAAGTGTTTATTGCCCCCCAAAGGACTCTTCCCCTCATTATTTGAAAATTCTTTCTTTTGTAGAGAGTATTTCACTTCTAAAAAGGGTTAAAAGCAAAGCTCACCAGGTTTATATGATGATGCTCTTTAACTGAAGACAATTCTCCAATCTAAACTTAAAACCACAAACAAAAAAGACACATTTTAATTAACTATTGTTATTGTTATTATAACTAATAAATGTATTAGTTACCCATTACTGTGTAACAAAACATTACAAAACATGTTTAAAAGAACAATAAATATTTATTACCTCAATTTCTGTGGATCAGAAACTCAGGAATGGCTTAGATAGATGTTTATGACTTGGCTTTCCCATCTGATTCTGGACAGGAAGTCAGTTAGGGCTGCAGTCTTCTGAAAGCTTGGCTGGGGTGGGAGATTTACTTCTACTGGTTAATTCAAGGCCAGGAAGTTGGTGCTGGCTATTATTAGAAGACATCAGTTCCTTACCATGCAGATCTGTCCATTAGGCTACTCTGGTGTCCTTAGGACATGGTATGTGACTCTTTCCAGGAGCTTAAGGAGGAAGTTACAATGTCTTTTATGACATAGCCTTGTAAGTCCATCTCTGCCATTTTGCAATATCTTGTTAATAACACAGGTATGTTTTATTCAATTTGGAAGAGGACCATCTGAGGACTCGATAACTGGGAATAATTGTGGACCACTTGGATGATAGTTACTACGTCAAGATTTTGGCTTAGGCTCTTGCCTCTTATCACTCTGTTCTTCATGGACAAACCCATTTATATTCATAGATTTATATACCACTTTTAAGTCTATTACCCCTAGATATATAAGCCCAGATTTCTCTTCTGTTCTTTAGACCTCAGTGCATAATACCTATGAGATATTCATTTTATCAATTGGCATTTCCTGAGTAGCCACTAGGAACCAGGCTTTAAAATAATCTGGGTAAATAAGACAGGCATCCTGCCCTCATGGAGATTACAATTTAGAGAAGCAGGAGGAAAATAAGTACATAAAGAAAATATTTACAGCTTTTGGAAAGTATCAAACAAATACACTGCTTGATAATAATGGGGTGAGTGGTGAGGAAAGAGAGGGTTAGTTACATTAGATGCAGTGGACAAAGAAGAACTCTTTGAAGAAGTGACATTTAAGCTGTGGCTAGAGTGATGATGTAAAAAAAACTGAGAAACTTAATTAAAATGTGTCCAATATAAGAATACTTCAGCCCTGACCAATATTTCTCAGTGGGAAAGAAAAAACTGTTTCAGGCCTGGAGAACAGCAAATGCAAAGGCTCCAGTTGTGGGAAGTCACAGAATGATCTAGAAAATGTCAGCTCTATTGTGGCTTGAGCACTATGTGTGAGAGACAGTACGGCAAGAGATGAAGTTGGTGAGGTAGGCAGGGACGAGATCACTCGTGTCCTTGCAGTGTAGGGCCTTGCAATGCCTGTGACGGTATTTGAGTGCAGCAGGAAGACAGGCTTTCAGCAAGGTCTAGTTATGTGGTACCGTGTTTCCCTGAAAAGAAGACATCCTCCGAAAATAAGACCTAGAGCAACTTTGGGAGAAAAAATTAATATAAGACACTGTCTTATTTTTGGGGAAACAGGGTATATATAATATAAAAAGTCCATATGATTGCTTCTCAGCCTTTTGGCTAAGATCAAGTGTAGTATCTGTTCTTATAAGTTTAATATCTGATATGTCCTCTATCTGAGGAAAATATATTAAATGGATTTTTGGAGCAGGGAGATGGAATAGGAGCTTGCTCCATCCATTCCACACACTGACCCCTATTGCAGTACCTTTTGGAAAAGTTCACCAAAAAAACCCCAAACCAAACCAAAATAAACAAACAAAAAAATACCACAAAAAAGTCCATATGTAAGTTTATTATCCTCTTCTCCAACTCCAAATTGCTAGTTCTCTAAAGCTTTCTGCATCACTGAATAGTAGCAGCATCCAGCTGTTGTAAAGAGTGCAGGATTTAGCCTGGCCTGTTTGAATCCAGGCTCTACAACTCACTAGCAAGGAAATCCTGAAAGTGTTATTTACTTTGATTTCTAGTGTCTTCCCATTGAAAGTGGGAACTCTGGTAAGGATTACATTGTCTGGCATCTGGTATTTGAAACAAGTGGCAGTGATAACTATTTTCTTTAAATAGTAAAATTGAGTCCTTAGAGGTATTCTCAATTCATGTTCCTTACCTTACTTATACACGGACTACCAAATCCTATTTTCATGGCTAGCAATGTAGAATGCAGAATCTGGTGCTCTCACTATGGACCAAAAAATTTACAGGCTGAGCCACACACTAAAACATGGCATAAATCATGAGAGAAATATTTGAGATTAGTCTTACTTTTCTTTCTCCCCAAATTGGCTCAAAACTCTTATTTCTAGTCTTGGAAGTACTAGGTTCATTGTGGCCAGGCTCTGAGCATAAGTAAGTCCAGACGCCTACACCCAGTATTCCTTTTTCATTGTGTTCTATTCAGAATAATAGTTCCCAAGGATTTCTGTCAAAAACCTGATTCAAATAGGGACACAATAGGTCCCCATCTCTTGGAGATATACAATTGTGAACAGCTAAATCACTATGAAAATTTGATCAGTGATGTTTAACTCAGCATTTCCAAACTTATTTGACCATAGAACTCTCCATTCTTATCCACAGAATACATATTAAAGCTTCCCCTCATTTTGGGAAACTCCATTTGAAGCTGATGTCACATTCTCTAGATTTGCATCTCCCTCCTGTTATTTCAAGTGCTTTCAGTCTTGGGTAAGTAGAATACTTTCTTAACCCTAGTTTTTCCTTAATCCTACCTGATTATATTATTTCCACATGTTCTGTTTATCTTTCCTTCACTGCCACAACCAGCCATGCCTGTCTTTCTGTTCATGTCCTTTCTGGCTTGCAAATTTATTGGTAACATTAAGTCTTGATTCTTATTAGTATCACTGGGAGGAATTGACTTCTAGGCCAATTGGCTGTGAGGGTCAGCTGTGTCTACCCTGGAGAACTTCTGTGCTGGAGACACCCTTATGGGACAAGACTCGCAAAATTGCAAAAGCCTCTGAACTCAGCTTGGATGAGGCAGAGTTTCAGGGAGGAGCAGACAGCCTTGGTTTCCCATCAGCCCTGCCCTAAGGGGCCCCTGGGTCTCAGTATCTCTTGGTAATACCAGTAAGCACCTCTGAGAGAAAGCCGTCCTCGGGTTTTCCCGCTGCCAGACAGTCCAGTTTCTCCCCAAAATGTGTCTGAGTTCCCAGAAACTTGACTGGAACTGGAGTTCAGTGCATTCAGAAGCTCCCGTCTTCCTCCCATTTTAGAAAGCCAGCTACGCAGTCAGCCACCTGTGCAGTCAGTCGCCCTTCCTCTCTGCATGTATGTCTCCGTATCTAAGTTTTTTGCAGCTCCTTTGAGTCTCAATGTGCTTTCCTTTTTTCCTTCTAGTAGAATTTCCATTCAGCCAGCTTTCATATTGTTCTGGGTGGTGTCTGTTTTGTCTTTTAGTTGTTTTGATATTGTTGTACGAGGCAGTTTAGGTATTTACCTATTCTGCCATCTTGGTTTCTCCCTGTGAGCATTTTCATACCCTTAGTAACATCAACACTCTTGGTGGCCTCTTTATGTTTAAAAATTATGCTATTCATAGATTTCACCACACCATGGTTGGTAGCCAGATCAGATAGGCAAACACCTCTTACATAGTTTACAATTTTTTAAATTAATGCCCTATCATTGTTCTCACAACTTTCCTTTTTCATTTTGCTGCTATCACTAACCTTCTAGGACTTATGATGACTTATTACCGTATTTTTCGGACCATAAGACACTCCGGACCATAAGACGCACCAGTTTTTAGAGAAGGGAAATGAAGAAAAAAAGATTCTGAAACAAATAGTGTCCTAAAATATTTTATGTGCATTAAAACCCAACATCACAGTCATAAACACATGTAATCAACCCTGTAAAGTAAACAGCAGCATTAAGAACCATTTTAGAGCCGGGCAAGCACACAGAGACCACACAGAGCCGGGCAAGTAAAAAAACTTTTTTTTTAAAGTATATGTGTAGGCTATATTTGGACCATAAGACGCAGGGACTTTTTCCCCCCACTTCTGGGGGGAAAAAAGTGCGTCTTATGGTCCGAAAAATACGGTATATGCCCTTAATAATAATTAGCAGCAACAAAAGCAAAAAGAAAATATTGATAGCACAATTTCCAATTAACAATTTTCAATTAACAAGTTGATAGCACAATTTCCAATTAACAATGGGCAGTTGTTAATTCTCTGTATCTATAAGTTTTATTTTATTTTATACTTTTTAAAGATTATACATATAAGTGAGATCACATGGTATTTATCTTTCTCTCTCTGACTTATTTCACTTAGCCTAATGCCCTCAAGTTTCATCCATGTTGTTATAAATGGTAAGATTTCATTCTTTTTTTATGGATCATCCCCCTTTTTTTTTTTTTTTTTTTTACAGATGAATGATATCTATCTCTCTATCTATCTATCCATCTATGATCTATCATATATCTATATAGCCATCATCTATAGTCTATTTATTTATATATCATCTACCTACCTACATATATATTACATTTTCTTTTTCCACTTATCCATAGATAAACACTTAGGTTGCTCCCATGACCTGGCTACTGTAAAAGGGACTATTATATTAGTGTTTTTTAAAGTCTATTTTCTTATGACTTCAGAAGAGATATTGTCTATAGAAAAATAGAGGTGTTTAGCATTAAATTTAATTTTAGTTGTTACTTTCCACATCTCCTAATCAGACATGCTTTTACATTACCCTTAATGGAACATGTGAGTACAGATGTACCTGAGAAATATTGTGGGTTTGATTCCAGACCACTGCAATATTTCAGTCAGCAGCCCTCAACATTGAATTATTTGTTTCCCCCCCCCCCCCAGTACATATAAAACTTATGTTCACACTATAGTGCAGTCTATTAAGTGTGCAAAAACATATGTCTAAAATACAATGTGGATCCTTTAATTTTAAATACATTATTGTTAAAAAATGCTAATCATTATCTGAGCCTTCAGTTACACATAATGTTCTTGTTGGTCTTGCCTCAATGTTGAGGGCTGCTGACTGGTTAGGGTTGTGATTGCTGAAAGTTGGGGTGGCTGAGATAATTTCTTAAAATATGAAGTTTGCCACATCATTTGACTCTTCCTTTCACAAATGATCCTCTGTATTTTGTAATGCTTTTTGATAGCATTTTCCCCATAGTTGAACTTCTTACATAATTGCAGTTATCTCTCCCTAATCTTGTCACTACTTTCTCAACTAAGTTTAGGTAATATTCTAAAAATTTTGTTGTCATTTCATTAATATTCACAGTATATTCTCCAAGATTAGATTACATCTTAAGAAACAATTTTCTTAACTCATTCATAAAAAGCAACTCCTCATCTATTAAAGTTTTATCATGAGATTGCAATAATTCAGTCACATCTTCAGACTCCACTTCTAATTCTAGTTCTCTGAACATTTCTACTACATCTACAATTATTTTTTCCACTGAAGTCTTGAACACCTCAGAGTTGATACACCATTATAGATGCCATTAAGAATATTTATAATTCCTTCCAGAAGATTTTCAATTCACTTTGCCTCGGACCATCAAATGAATCACTATCTATGGCAACTATAGCCTTATGAAATGGATTTCTTTCCTTTTTGAAGTCATGAATATTTTTATTAAAAATACAGAATCTCAATAATAATACTAAATATTGGTGAGGATTTAGAGCAATTGTAATTCTTATACTTTGCTGGTGAAATGAAAAATGGTTTAGTCCTTTGGAAAACAGTTTGACAGTTTCTTATAAAATTATGAATACACTTACCAAATATCTCAGCACATCTACTCTCAAATTTTTTTGGAAAATGAAAACTTGTGTTCATACAATGACTTGTATGTGAATGTTTTATAGCAGTTTTATTTTTTATTTATTTTTTCTCTGCTAGGAATGAATTTAATTCAGCCTTTGCCTGTGTTGTCACCCTTCACTAAAGAGTTAACTATAAAAATTATGCATAAAGCACTCTAAACTCAGGTAAGAATAGACCTTTTTTTTTTCTACCCACACTTTAATGCTTTTTACAAAATATTTGATATCTATAACTGTTTATAAAAATAGATAAATTCAGGCTTAGAGTGAGTTTGTTCTGATTCACAACATTATGCTTCTTCCATTAAAATCACAGTGATAAAAAGACATGCTTAGGACCACTGATGGGTCTGGACCAGTTTTTTTTACAGGTAAGACTAGATAGGTTGGGCAGGAGGCACGTACAAGAGCATGTGTGTACCAAGCCCACAGGGGAGAGCGAGGGCCATGTTTCCCTGGAGGCACATGCGTAAGGTTTCCTCCAATCGTGGCTACAACACTAACCAGAAATGAGGGGCTATACTCCTGATCTACCACCTCACACTTCCTGCTACTTTAAGAGGTCCCCTTACAAGGAAGAAGGTTTATAGTTCGCTTACTGACTATATAGCAGTGAGACTCCTGCTCTCATTTGGGGCACTAGGGCGTGCAGTGCCCATTTTTTGTTTTTGGAAAAGCCCTGTATATATCAGGTTTTGACCACACACGAAGTCTTATGGAAATTCACTATAAGGAATCATTTTTAGGGATGAAGAATCCTTTGGTAAGAAAAAGAAATCTGCTTTAGGGGCAACTGCAAGTTGACTAGTTTCTAGGGAGCTAAAGCTCATGAAGGATAGGAGCCAAGTTTGTTTTAAAAGCAATCAATCAAAACTCCATCTGGCTGTTTAGCTAGTCCCCCGTCCCTCCCACCCCCCAAGGAACTTGAGGTGCAACTAAGATATCAGCTATAAAGTAGTGATTCCATGTACTTGTTAACTTTACATCCTTCACTCTTCTCATGGCTGTAATAATGGAGAATGGATGAGAGCCCAGGTTAAAACAACCCCACTCAAATCCTGGGGCTCACACACTACCTGGGGCTGCAGTAAAGGAAGCTCTGCACACCCTACTTGGGAAAGGCTCTGCTGGCGGAGCCCAAGATGCAGGGGCAACCATCTGTCTTCAGGGTTCTGACAACTCCACTCCAGACAGGTGCATGAAGAGGTCCCCGAGCTCTGTCATGTCAACATCTTCAGTGCTGGGGACATGCTGGCTTTCTCGGTTCTCGATGAAATCCCAGAGGCGCACTGAATTGAAGAACCTCACGGTGCCTTCTGAACTGAGTTGTTTCCAAGGTTTCTCAGGCTCTGCTAGCCGCCCATCAGGATAAGCGTGGCGGTAAAGATATTTGTTTCCAAATGGGCTGGTCCCTTTGCCTTGATCAAAGTACTTACACGCTTCCCCTCCCCCCCCATTCCTTGTTTGAAAGCTTCAATCAACTCGTTCTTTTTATTCTGATTTTCTACCCAATACACTCTTGGAATTACAAACTCTGATATCACCTGGCATTCTGGACAAGACTTAATGATTGTGTTCTCAAACTGCTTGGCACACTTCCACTGTCGGATGCAGGACAAGCAGTACGTGTGATTGCAGTTGGAGAGAATCCCAAATCTCCTCTCAGAGGCAGACGCCTTCTCAAGGATCACTTCCATACAGACACTGCACTCTTTGTCCTGGCTTGCCTGGAAGGCAAAGGCCTTTTCCACCTTGTGTTCAAATGTTGACATGCAGATCTTCTCATGAGCTTTCCTCTGCTCTGGGTCGAAGGGATGCAGGACTTGGAGCCTGCAGATTTCACACATTTCCCCATGCAGGTAGACACAGGCATCCCCAAAGCGGCACTCCCTGGCGGCTGCATAGGGGCACAGCTGCTCCTCGCTGCTGTAAGAGCTGCTGGCTTCTAAGTAATCAAGGCCACTCCATATTGCATCAAGATAGGAATTCGGCCTCATCTCTGGGCTACTCTGGGCGTCACTGCCTCCTGAATTATTCACCACACTTGGGCAAGCCTTTTCTTCATCCATGCCACAGAAATTTTGGTCTCTAAGTACCAATGTTCTTTTCTCACGTTTCCCAGGCTCGTGTAAGTTAGTTTTCACAATAGGCACAGTGAGGTTGGAAGGAGGGTGAGGACTGTGGAAGCCTGGGGAGGGCACACTGTGGGGCATGGAACCCACAGCACCACCAGCTGCAGCAGAGGGCCTTGTGTGATCATATCTGCAACGAGTTCCATAGGCACAGTAGCCCTTCTGATAGTACTTGCAGATGGTGGATGGCTTGCTGTTTGCCAAGTCATGTGAGAACAGGCATTGGTTTCCTTCCCGACATATACCATGCATAAAAATACCTGCAAGTGACCTGTTTGGTGCTCATGGTGGTCGGGATTGAGGGCCGTGGTCGTCCTACCACCTCCTCTTAGTCTGGCCACCCAGCAGTTTTATTTTTATTTATAAATTATATTTTTATTTATTTCAAAGAGGAAGTGAGAGGGAGAGAGAGAGAAACATCAGTGATGAGAGAGAATCATTGATTGGCTGCCTCCTGCATGACCCCTAGTGGGGATGGAGCCAACAGCCCGGGCATGTGCCCTTGACCAGAATTGAACCTGGGACCCTTCAATCTGCAGGCTGACACTCTATCCACTGAGTCAAACCAGCTAGCAGTTTTATTTGTAACTACACCAAACTGGAAATAAGCCTGAAATACGGTAGCAGTCATACTTGGGTAAAAACTGCTGTTTGAATTTTAACCTTGCTATCTGACTTCGACCTTCGATTACTTGCTTAAACAATAGGGTAGTTACAGGAGATTGACTCCCACTGACTCAGTAGCTTCAGGGGTAGAAACTATAGATAACCTTTAGTTCTGCTTTTGTATTATGGGCAAGATAGGGCCACATTCCAATGTCCAGCAGGGTGTGACTGGGAACCAACCCTGCAAGCTGTCTCCAGTCTTTAGAATTTAGTCTTTAGGATTTAGAAACAGATAAGGACGGCCAGTTCTTTGTCCTGAGAGGCCAATCAGGGTTAGCTGAGGCAGTGACATCACCACCGACCTGGGTAAAACCCCTGGACTGGGCGATATTCGCTCTCTTCCGCCATGCTGCCAGCATGAGTGGGACAGCCCATGCTAGCATGGAGAAGGCTCTTTTGTTTATTGCATCGGACTCGGCTCCCTGGTGGTCCTTGGGGGTCATGAATTTGTCTGGGATCCCCAGCCAGGACCATGAGGGACCCCAATCCAGAGAGTCTGACTGGCCTTGGTAGGTGTGTGTTTGTCTGTGTTTTTGTGTGAGCGCTCTAAAGGGACTGCCCCTCCAACAGGGCTCTTATCTGGGTGTTTGCTGGCTGCTGCGTCAGCCACGGTTTGAGCCCGGATTCGAATCTGTAATAAATTCTTGCTGGCTTAATCAAATTGGCTTCGGTGGTCCATCTCTTGGGGACTTGCTCCGTAACAAAGCCAAATGTCCTTCAGCTAGGGCATGGATAAAAAAAAATTGTGGAGAGAGAGGATCCAAGATGGCTGCTCAGGTAGACACCTAACTGCAGCAGCACACAACAATTTCAATGGAATACAACTAAAATGTAGATTGGACATTGCCCAGAGGTAGCCGACTGACTGAAAATTCTACAACAAGAAGGAAAGAGAAAGCCAGAAGGAAAATCAGAGGAGCTGAAAAATCCTAAGGTATAGAGACATGCTGCGCACATGCGCGCACGAAGAGGACGCAGCCGGAGAGGAGTAGAAGGCTGGGTGTTTGCCTGGTGTTCTCTAGCAGGAAGGAAATAAAAACCCTGGTCTGGGCTGAACCCCAGAACCAGCAGCGCTGAGCCCCAGTTATGGACCCAGACACGGGCAGGGGGAGACGAGGCTGTGAGGCGGAATCTTAGGGGAGAGGTGAAAAGCAGAGCCCCCGGAGTCGCGCACATTGCTTGCAAGGGAAGGAATGTTGACTCTGATGCGGGATTGCCCTGGAGGGAAGGAAATAGGAGCTCAGGCCGTGCTGGGCACCAGTTTTGACTGCTCTGAACCCCAGTTCTAGGCCAATCCCTGGGGATCCAGGCACAGGCAGGGGGAGACGGGGCTGTGAGGTGGAGCCCTGGGGGAGTGGTGAAAAGCGAGCCCCTGGAGTTGCCCACACTGCACGCAGAGGACAGTCTGTTGACTCTGATGCTAGACTCCCCTAGCGAGAAGGAGAAAAAAAGCTCCAGATTGGAGGAACGCGATGAGGAGCAGGAGTCCCTGCCGGACACCGGCCAGCCAGGTGCCAGCAAGGAGCTGGGCTACGGGGCCCCCAGGGGGGGGTGCCCCTGGGCCTTCGACCGCTGAGCGCGGGCCACGGAGCAGAGGCCGGGGGTTGCTTCTTGGGCGGCGCCGACCCCTGCAACAGGCTGAAGCAGCGCAGGAGCCTGCGGAGAACAAAGGGGTGCCACAGGCCAACCTGCTGAGCTTCCAGTACAAGGAGGAAGAAACTGAAGAAGTTTTCAATGTGAAGAAATCAAGTGAGAGCAAAAGATAGTAAAATTACTTAAGAAAGAATATAAAGAAGATCTTGAAAAATCGAAGACTAAGTTAGAACTCAACTCAGCAGCCAATATTGCAACATAAATGGGTGTTTTTTTTTTTTAAAAAGGACACAATGTTGGAATGGCGGCTGCCAGGCCTAGAGTGGCCAGGCACAAGGCAGTGGCAGCCAGGACAGGAGCAACAGCCAGGCCCCAGAGCAGCAGCAGCCAGAACCAGAGCATCAACAGCCAGGCCTAGAGAAGCCAAACCTGGGGCAGTGGCAGCCAGGCCTGAGGCGGAGGTGGCCAAGCCCAGGGTGGCCAATCTAGGAACACTCAGACCCGGAGTGGCCGGGCCCGGAGAAGCTGGGCCCAGAGCAGCCAGTTGGGAGCAGCCAGACCCAGAACATCAGCAGCCAAGCCCGGAGCATCCAGGCCAGGAGCTGCCAGGCTCGGAGCGGCTGGGCCCGGGGCATCAGTGCCCAGAGCAGCCGGGTTGGGAGCAGCCAGGCACAGAGCAGTGGCAACCATGCTTGGAACAGCCAGGTCAGGAGCGGCCAGGCCCGGAGCAGCAGCTGCCAGACTGGGAGCAGTCAGGCCCGGAACAGCTTGCTCCTCGCCTGCCTCTGCCCCAAGGCTGCCTCTCAGACATGGCTGGAAACTTTTGGGGGAACTTGAGGGTCTGCTGAATCAAATGAGGAAGGCTTAGATCTGGATGTGTTGAGTTAGTATAGCACTGGGGTGTTGATCTGTGAGTGCCTTGTGTGGGGCCTGGATGAGGTTGGTTGATCTATTTGGAAATGTCTTTTGTGTGAAGTGTATCCCTGGGCATGTGGAGGTATTATTGATTTGAGAAAATGCTAAGTAACTGATTTACTATCTGAAAAATTTAAGGTTCTGAAAGTTTAAGGTCTCTTGCCAAAAAGAGGTTTTAAAGCTAACACCTTAATTTTAATGGAGAAAGGGAATGACAAGCCCTTCCCACCCAGAACAGGTAATCCAATTCCAACCAGCAGCTATGTTTAAACAACGTGTCCATTTACACTTATACCTTTTGATAGCCTAAGGGCAAGTTTACATGTAAACAAGTTTGCTCTCCATTCCCAGGTCAAAAAAAACAACAAGGTTTAAAATTATTAGATTTTAAAATTTATTCTTAGAAGTGTAAAAGTTTATTAATTAAAAACAACAACAACAACAAAAAAAGGAGATTGAAAAACCTGATGAACAATAATAGCGGTTCATTGTAGTAGAGTCGGTGATATGGGAGGGGAGTGGACTGACTGTTCTCGAGGAAAGGGAGGGAGGAAGAGACTGAACATAAACTGTACACCTATGGATGAGGACAATGGGCGGTAGGGAGGGGGTGGAGGATGGGGTGGGAACCTGGTGGAAGGGGGAAGAAATGAGGAACCTTTGTAATAATATGAACAATAAAGATTGATTTAAAAAAAAAATAAAGGATTCTTTAAAAAAAAATATCCAAATAACTCATGAAAAAAAAAATTGTGGTACATTTCACAATGGGGTATTACTCAACCAGTAAAAGAACTATTTATTCATGCAACAAAATGGATGAATCATATATATATATATATATAATTTTTTTTATAATGTCTTTATTTTTCTATTACAGTTGATGTAGATTACTATAATACTTTTGGGTATATACCTCAATCATTAGACATAACTTACTGAGTGATGATACCAATAAATCTCACACTCATCTGACATCATGCACAGTTATTAGAAAATTATATTATTGACTGTATTCCCTATGCTGTATTTTATATCCTCATGACTATTCTGTAGCTACCAATTTGAACTTTTTAAACCCTTCACCTTTCTCATCCTTCCCCCCAAATGTTCCTCCCATCTGGCAACCATCAGCTCACAGTCTAAGGAGTTCCCTTATAGGTAATTGTTTTTTTTCTTCCTGCCTTTAGGATGATCTCTTTGTCTTTAACCTTGCCAGTGTTTTGGTGTAGCCCTCTCTTGGATTCTCTTGGGGCCACCAGACTTAAGCTGTAAAGTGATGCAGATGACTGCTATTTGTGCTGTGCCTGGGGCCTTTTGAGAGGTATAAGGCAGGATGAGGCCAGATGCTACTTGCTTGAGAGATTTTAGAAAAATCTAAAACATGAATCATCATGCCATTTGTATGGAAAAGCCATTGGAAACAATTTGGGTGGGCCCAAAAGTTGGGTGAAGTTGAGCCTCAGGAAATCACCAGGGTAGAGAAAACAGTGTGAGTCAGGTTAATAGAGTCTCAGATATGGCACCTGCCTGTGGGCTCTGGTGGAAGTGGGATGGGGTGGGAACCTGGTGGAAGGGGGAAGATGGCCTCTGCCAGCACTTCTGTCTGGGAGAAAGCCCATTCCACCCCCCACCTCCCCAGCTCTTGTCCTGATGCTGGAAAATTTAATTTCTCCACCTATGCCTTTACATCTGTTGGCCCAGAGATGGAGCACAGAGGGAGTGAATACCAGAAAATCTGCGAACTGGCTTTTTAAGAGGAATTGCCTAAGTATCCAGCAGCTCTCCATCTTCCTCAGACTCAACCAGTGCTTGTTTTTACAGCCAGATATTATGGGGAATTCTCTTCCTGACACTGGAACCCTGGCTTGGAGGTCTGTTTTGGGACTGGGACCCCTCACTAAGGGGCACCTTTCTATCTGAGATATCCCTCCTGGTTTTTATCTGCTACATGTGGATGTGTGACCAGCCCACTCATTGTTTCTGTCCCTCCTACCAGACTTTATGTGGCTTCTTCTTTAATTTCCTTGTTGTAGGAGTTCCATTCAGCCAGATTTTAGTCAGGTCTGAATGATGATTGTTCTGTAGTTTAGTTATAGTTTTGATTTAACAAAATATATTTCTTTA